GTTCAATTCCCAGCAACCACATGGAGGCTCACAACCATCCCTAATAGGATCTGATGCCCTCTTCTGGCCTGCAGGCATATGTGCACACAGAACACTGTATACAAAATAAGTAAAGAAATCTTTAAAAAAATTATTAAAAAAATGCTGTTCCTCTTCAATGTTACCGAGACTACTTGGGTAGATTAAAATAGATTATGATTGTACTAGGTATTATTACTGTTCAGTTCGTCACCTCCCACCCACCTAGGAGGAAGCTCATTCTCCCCTGAGCTTAGATTTGATCATAGGTCTAGCTTTGGCTAGTGGAAAGCAAACTGGCTATATATTCTCAAATTATTTCATTGATAGCTCAAAGTTTTAAATCTAATTTAATAAACCATGAATGGAACCCACTGGCCATTGTTGTCTCCTTGAGTTCCTTTTCTTTGTTTTCTTTGTTTCCTATGTAGCCCAGGCTGGCCTCAAACTTCCTATGTAGCCCAGGCTGGCCCCAAAGTTCTGATCCTCCTTTCTCACCTTGAATACTGGGATTACAGGCCTGTCCTGTCCTGCCTGGCCTGTCATAATCTTTATTGAAAAGAAACTTTACTTTTCTCATGTGTCTAGCTGTCCCCTGGCTGCCCCCTGACTATCCACCTAGTTGGAGCTCATTCAATGCAGCTGCTTTGGTATCTTGGATTTCTATGGCTGTGATAAAAACACCATCACCAAAAGCAACCTGGGGAGGAAAGGGCTTATTTCATTTTATGACTCTCAGGTTACATTCCATCACTGAAGGAAGGCAGAGCAGGAACTCAAGGCAGGAACTGAACCAGACACCATGAAGGAACCAGGCTTGCTGGCACCCAGGGGCAGCACCACCCACAGTGAGCTGGGCCCTTCAAAGTCAATCACCAATCAAGAAAATGTCCCACAGGCCATCTGGTGGGGGCATTTTCTCAAATGAGGTTCCCTCTTCCCAAATGACTGTAGCATGTGTCAAGTTGACCTAAAATAGCAAGCACACTGGGTATTCCATATCATAGTTGGTTCTCCGACTACCTCTTTGTTGATTGACCTGGTTTGTTTGCAGATTTTTCACTACACCAAAGTAAACTGCAAAGAACAACATTTCTGTGTATACTCTTTGTGGCCTTGCATGGTATTTCTGCAGGATAAAGTCTCTGAGTGGTGTTTCTGGGTCAAAGATTATATGCATTTTTAATTTTGATGGATCCAGCCAAATGGCTCTCCAAAGGGTTGTATCAATTTGCACTCCTGCCAAGAGGGTCTGAGAGGGCCCATTTCTCTGCTCAGAATTTAAAAGTGCTTAATCAGACAAAGGCTTGATGAACACTTCAGAAGCTGTTAGAAAAATACAGAAAATGCATATGTTCCATCATGAATATGCCTCTGATATGAAGCTGCTTCTCTGGGGAAGTGGGTACTGCCGGGCCCCCATGGTCAGAGCTGCAACGCTAGGCCGCTTTCCATGTCACAATAAAGGTCGGGAGAGAGTGGGTGAGTGAAGATGAAGAAGCAGTTTAGCTCAGGGCTTCTACTGCTGAGGTCTTGCTACACAATCCAAGCTGCTTGGGCTGGAATGTCACTTAGTGGTAAGATACACTCCTTCTGTGTGAAAGGCCCTGGGTTCAATCCTCAGCATTGCAACAAACAACCCCTCAGAGAACACCAAAAGAACAGATTCTCATTTAAAAAGAACATTTAAGGGGCTGGAGAGATGTCTCAGTGGTTAAGAGCACCGGTTGCTCTTGCAGATACTGAGTTCAATTCCCAGTACCCAGATGGCAGCTCACAGTCTGATGCCCTCTTCTGGTCTGCAAGCATACATGCAGACAAAGTACCTGTATGCACAAAAATAAGTCTTAAAACAAATGAAAAAAAGAACATTTAAAAATAATCACTTTTGAAATACTCTTGCTGTGCGTGCATGTGTGCGTGCGTGCATGCGTGCGTGCGTGCGTGCGTGTGTGTGTGCGTGCGTGCATGCGTGCGTGCGTGTGTGTGTGTGCACGTGTGTGTGTGTGTGTGTGTGTGTGTGTGTGTGTGTGTGTGTGGGGAGAGGGACTGTAGAGAGAGGGAGGGGAATGGAATTATTGAGTAGATTGCCACGACAACAGACTGGGCAGTAACTCTCCTTAAACTGAGTTAACTCCAGTACCCTTATCACAAATGACAAATGGCTTATTTCCCACGTGGTCTGCATTTTTAGTAGTGCTAGTAGGTTTCTGGAACATGTGCTGGCTCTTTTTCTCCAAATACTGCTAACCTCCACAGGGCCTGCTGGGGAAGGCTCTCGGTACCCAGCTGCACACAGCCAGCTGGCCCATCAGAAGTGTGGCATCAGGCACACTCTCAGACAAGACACCAGAGTGCTGCCACATGTCCTGGCATCTCTGTGTCATGCTGGAGTGCTACAATGCTCTAATTGGAAACTGCCTGTGGAGTCAATGTCATGAGGACACAAAGTCCTCGCTTTGCTCTTTAGACCAGCAAGGTGGCCTTTTTGTGTCCACGGTACTGCTGTCACTAATATCTTGATTTCTGTGTCCCAGCACACTGAAACAGGGTGAGGAAGATTCAGATCCCTTCTTCAAGAAGGCTGGAAGACAGTCACAGTCCTTGTCCCCACTAATAGCCAGTCTAGATGTCTCCTCAGCCATGAGCCTGGGGAAGGAGCATGGGCCAAGGTCAAGAGGCTGGGCTTCTAGTTATGGCCATGTGATGCTGGGCACATCAATTGCCTTCTCCGACCTCTGGGTTCCATCTGTGAAGGAGTATTTAGCTGAGCGAGGCCTAACTGCCCTCTTTCCACTCTGATATTTATGGTCACTATCTTCAAGTGGCCAAAAAGGCCACCAGGAGAAG